TGGACCGGTCTGAGCTCAGGAACGTGTTGGAGCGTCTTGCGGCGCTGCTCGAGGGTGCGTGTCCTGGAGCTGCTCCGCATCCCCTCCCGCAGCCCCTGGGACCCGCTCCCGGGAGGGGTGGGTGTGCGCAGAGCTGGTTTGTGCCCGGCTCGGGGTAGGAGCAGCACGGAACCTGAAGAGGAATTGCTGTTTGGAGCTGAAGTGTTAAAATCTCTAAGGTCTTTCGCCTCGCTCAGACTCTCCTGCCAGGTCGAGGGGTGGAAGGAGCACTTTTTCGATCCAGGTTTGGCCTGGGTCCAAGTAGAAGCCACACGCTGGTGAGGCATTACAGTCTTAAGGTGATGCTGGACTTGAGAGCCAGGCAGGGTCAGTGCAGTGCGGGCCTGTGCTGTGAGGTTCTGCTGCCTGAGCAGCCCCCTGCGAGCTGTGTTTGGGGAAGAAAGTGTTGCAGAGAAGTGTTTTGGAGTCCACATCCGATAGGAAGAAAGTCTGAGATCTTACAGAAGATTATGAGCTTGCTGTTAAAGTTACTCATTTCTCACTGGAAGGCTGATGCCTGAACTGTTTTGGACTAAATATTGTGTTTTTTTCAAATACAGCAATCGCAGCGGTAGCTGCCAATTTGACAACTGCCTGGCTCAGGTCCAAGGCAGGTCTAAGGCACTAGAACTGTCAAGAAAGTCTGTGATTTCTTTTCAGGTCCACTATTGCTATTCAAGAAAGATAATTTACCAACTTTGCTACTCTTTCATGATTCATTGCTTTACTAAGGGATGTTCATTGCAGAGCTGTAACAGAGTCACCAAAGTACTTTGCAACCATACATAGGCATTCAGCCTAAAACCTGAAGTCAGTCATTAACCCATGCAGTTCCAAGAAAATGTGAGTTTTTTCTTTCCTGCACAGAAAGCCTCAACCCTTGGCTATCCCCACAAGGAACCGTCATGGACAGATTATGTTGGTACCTGGACTTTTTTCCACTGGTACTTGCTGTGCTTTTCAGCTTTCCCAGCTGTTAGGACTGGACCACTGAGTAGACACTGGCATGCAGGGCTCTGTCTGTGCTGGTTTTTATCACCTCTACTTCTGGGAGAGAAGCGGGGAGGTTTGCTCTTCCTCCTTACGCTCTGCTGTCCTTGTAGTGTGTTCCCTTGCCTTGATCCTGCACGCTGTAGGTTAGAGTGCTTGTCCAGTCTGTGAGGGAGAGCCCAAGTGCAGTTCTCCTCTCTGATGGAGCTGAGACCATCATCTGCTTCCTGAGCACCAGGGAATGAAGTATTTTTGAAATATGAAAGGCTGAGAGCTCTTGGTGTAGTTACTCACATGCTGAGGGAAGTAGAAATAGAGAGCAGGTCATGATCTTCTGTGTGTAGGGCCTGGTCAGGTAGCTGTGATAAGGCATCTCTCTAGATGTCTGGTTTATGCACCTCATTGCTGTTCAGGCATCATGGCTCAGCAGCTCTAGACTAGATGCCAGCTCTGAACTGCTCACACATAACCAAGTCTTTATTAAAAAGCATATATTTATGTATCTTGATAACTTTGTTGCAAGAGACTGATGTGTCTGGGGATACAGGAGGCATTGTCAGGGCTAGGTGCAAGCTGGGCAGCAGTTTTGAAGACCTTTGTTTTGGACTGAGGCACCAGGTTTCTCCTGTGAGTCCTGCCCTAGTAGAGCAATGGCTGTTTGGTATAGGCCCTATTGAAGACACCACCCAACACAAAGGACTTCAGTGGATAAGGTCAGGGATGCAGTCTCCCCTCTCACTATTGTTCTGTTTGTTTATGCCTCCTAATTGATGCCCTTGGCATTATGGCCAAAGTTTCCACTCTATGGCTTAGTTAGGTACTGTGAAGTCTATGGAAGAATAACTAAGCCTGCCTGTAAAGAGAGAAAACCTTGGCTTAACAATGAAGTCCTCTGCTAGTCTGTGACTGTCTTCTTGTTAAATCTTCTTTATTCTTCTGGGACCCATTAGTGATAAGAGTACAGTGTTAGCTTTGTTTCCAGCACCAGACCATCTCACATCAGCTGCTCATTCATACTATGGCATGTGACTGCCCTTCTTAGTGAAATTTGAAAGGATGAAGTGTTTCATCCCTCTGCCATCATCTGGTGGGCTGACTTCAGCCCCCTGCTGCTGGGGGCATTGACCAGGCCTTATCTGCCAAGCAGCAGTCGTGGTTTCATTTGTTTGTTTTTTATTTTAAATTTAAGTTTTATGGGCAAATAGGATATCAATCCCTGTTAAACTGTTGTTTGTAACGTTGGAGTTGGTCTTCAATTGGTCCACATTGTCTATAATGGATATATTGTGATTTGGCTAATGGTAAGGAAGTCAGGAGGCCTTGTAAATTTATATGCAGGAATATATATTGCTGTTCTAAGCTCTTATTTGTAAAGACACAGAAGCATGGGGCTCCGAGATGTCATCATGAGAGAGGTGAAAATAATGCTGGTGTCTCTGGGTTGGTGTTCTTGTGAAGCCATTCATTTGACAAAGTGCATTTTCAAGTCTGGTATGACATGGTGTCACAAAACCCAATACCTACTGAATAGGTTAGAACACTACAAGGTTAAAAGTCTACTTGTTCAGGAATACTCTGCAATTCTGTTTTGTTGTAAAGCTTGCATGAGCTCTTAAAGCTGTATTAATATTTTTTAAATATACATGTATGTTTTACTAGAGGCTTATTACACTTGGGTATAATTATTTTTTTAAATTGCTAATAGTGTGTACTTTTCATTTTTTTTCCACTAGTCCACAGGAAACTTGGTTGAATCAAGCCCAAGTATCCAGGTCTTGATTGCCCTTCTACTCTCACATTCATTCAACTGTATTTAGTAGTTTGGAGTGGAACATTTTAGATGCTAATTTTAAACATGCTTGCTTTAAGGTCATCATCTTGAATCTGTCAGGAAGCAAGAATTCTGAAGTCATGGCAGGGAAACCCAAGCTGCACTACAACAACGGAAGGGGGAGGATGGAGTCAATCCGATGGCTGTTAGCAGCAGCTGGAGTTGAGGTTTGTACCTTTTTTTATAAGGTGATCAGATTAATCTGTGATTACAGTAAGTATTATTTGGAAAGGTTTCCCAATTACATCCATGCAGACCAAAACTGACTTTTCCTGAATGCTCATTACTTCTGTGTCTCATGACACAGCTGAAAGACCATGCACACCACATGAAAAACATCAGAACTTTACAAAGTGCTTTTCCTTCTTGGGTGGATCTGAGTAGGATAAATCAGCAAAGCTGCCCTGAAGGCAATAGGAGAGCTGTCTAGCTTAACATCTGGTGAAAACCATCCTAAGGCATCTTAATTTCTACACGCAGTTTTTGCCTTAAGACAGCGCTTTGAACTTATTTTCTCAGGAACTCTGTATACTACATTGGAAACAAAAGGGTTTTCTGATGGTGCTTACTTGTGAGTGTTGCTGACAGAGAAGCTGCAGAGCACGAGTGCTGAGGAAACAGATCTTGCCCTTATTCAAATGTCATCCTCATGTAAAAGAAAATGGTGCTGGAAACAGAGATATGCTCCGTAACACAGGCGTAATTTATTAAAAATGTCTCAATATTTCACATGGTATCAGCTGTTTTTAAGTGAGTGACTTGGTGTCTGTTAATTGTTAAGCAAGTAACAATACGTCGTTACAATAAAGGAAACTTTTTTAAAAAAGTAAAGCACTGTACCTTACTGTGGGTCTGGGGACACTATAGTCCTGGGTTATTTGCTGGAGCAGGGATGAAGAATAGGAGTAGGGGGTCAACAAAGTCATGAGAAGTATGGTGAACAGTGTGGAGATTTGGAGTCTAACTTCCAGACTTCCTTCCACTTCCCCATTCCCTTTGGAGTGATGCAGTCCTGTTTTCTCTCTTTGCTTTTCAGTTTGAGGAACAATTCATAGAAAAGAGGGAAGACCTAGAAAAATTATGCAAAGGTGAGTCTGTAAACTGTACCCTAAACACAAATTTACACCGATGTAACAAAAGGACAACAGGTGAGATTTTTGAAAGACGATATGACCTGTAGAGAGAAGATTTGAGGGATCTGCTTTCTTGCAAATGCCTTTGTTCGTCAGAACTGAAAACGTCCTGAAGTGTTACTACATCTCTTGCTCAGATTCAGCAGAGTACTGCAGCAATCTGAGTAGTTTGCTTCTTCCCCAGATGGAGTCCTGATGTTCCAGCAAGTGCCCATGGTAGAGATTGATGGGATGAAGATGGTGCAGACTAGAGCCATCCTGAGCTACATAGCAGCCAAGTACAACCTCTATGGAAAAGACCTGAAGGAGAGAGCCTGGTATGGTAACAGTGCATACTGTGCTTGCTAATGCTTTTACATGATTTTAAATGTTTATGAGAAGAATATTGCTGTAAAATATCTGGATGTGAAGGTACACATTCATCTGCCAGTATCTTGTCTCCTCAGATCCAGGGAGTGGGTGAATAGGCTTTGTGATTTAATAATGATTGCTAATTACCAACATCATCAGAGAATGTTGTGGCCACTTGCAGGTGCATTTGATTTCACAAAGACTAGAAGTGCAATAAGTTTCTGGGCAACTGCAGGACTGTAAAATGGTAATAAAGGTTAGGTATGCCTTTTTTTTTTTTTCTTTTTTTTTTTTTTTTTCCTATTTAAACTGGAAAACAATAGGAAAAACTACAGCTTCCTGCAAAAAAAAAAAAAAAAAAAAAGTGTCTATAAGTGTTCTGATTTCCTTTTTTCAAAATGTAAAGAATCTTTGATATCTGATTTTTTAAAAGACATGTTCAGTGTCTGAATGCTACTGAAAGTCAAACTGATATTTTCCTAAGATGACCGTGTAAGCTGTGGATACTTTCCATTGTCATTATTAAAGGGCTAATGTGAAACAAAAAAAGTCCTTGTTTACTTAAAAAAAACACCAAAATCCAACACAAAAAGTAATGCAAAAGTTCCATCAAGTCCCTAACCCAACTGACTACCACTTACTGTAAAGGGCTTATTCTGTGGTAATAGCAGGGCAACTCCAGAAATTGTGGGGATTATTACGGACTGGCATGTCTGAACTGGCAATTGGCAGCCATTTGTGGCTGGGATTCCTTCATGAGAAGACCTCAAACCATTTTTAAATTATTTTTTTACTCTAGTTTGGTTTGCATATGTGCTCTTTTCTCTCACAGCACAGATGAATAGGTTTTCAATGGAAAACAATGGGAACTCCACTTTAAATACATTAGTTGCAGACTCTGTGTTTCTGTTCATGAAAATCTGTGCTTTGAAAAACACTAACCTGGAATCAAAATGGAGGAACAAGAAAACAAACTAGTGTCTTATGTTACACTCACTAATAAGCATTTTACTCAGTGATCACTTCAGCATTGTATTTCAGGAAAATAAAAAAAAAAATGGAACATTCAAATGATAAATGTAACTTTTGTTTCAGGATTGATATGTATGTGGAGGGAACAACAGAGTTGATGAGAATGATGATTAACCTCCCTTTTCACCCACCTGACACAAAAGAAGAGACTCTTGCCTTAATCATTGAACGAGCTACAAATAGGTACTTTCCTGTTTATGAAAGGGTAAGTGATAGATCATCAGTAGTCCAAGAAGAAGGTAAAGTGGGGTACAGGTTCCCCCCCACCCCACTCCCCTGGCCCCACACACCAACTTCCCAAAAGGCAAGTGACAGTACAGCTCTGGAACTGTATGATGGAGACAGTATTTAGCAATGTGAAAAGAGTGCCACAAAATAATATTAATCTGGTTTCAATACTTAGTATCTTGGCTGTCTTCTTAAGGCTATTCAAAGAGCAGATCCTACTTTTTAAACCTAGCTTAGTGGCTGATAGCTCCTGGCATTTTGCTTAAATGCAACATGGAAACACCTGTGCCAGCCTTCAGAATTTATTGCCTGAAAGTCTATATGCTCTTGCAGTTAAAAGTTAAATCTAGTTGTGCTTTATAGTTAAGGACCTAATCCTGAGATCTCTCACAAACCCATTGCTTTAATTATTATACTTACAGACTATTACTGTCTTTTTCTGAATTAGCATTTGAGTGTCCTTGGATGTGCACAAAGAGGCTTTACAAACACAATGTATCTAGCTTAAAAGCATATAGCAATTACATACTGGTTAGCATGCACTGAAGAGCCTGTAATGAGCTGAGAGAAGGCATTGGTATGGTCCCTACCCCCACAGAGCACATGAAGAGCTCTTCTTGGCTAGGCAAGAGTTGGTCAGGAGGTGGCAGGCTCTTCTTAGCTTCTGCCTGGAACACAGCCTGGATGTTACCAAGCTGCCACTTTCCATTGACTTGCTGTTTGTTCTGTTGTTTCGTTTTTCTCTTCAGGATATTTTAAGTTTTTTTTTTTTTTTGTTGTTAATATTTTTCTGTTTGAATTGAGTCATCTGTGATCTTCGTGTCACTATCCTCCTGCTGTTGGTAACTGTACCTTCTATGGTTGGACTACAACAGGGTTTCTCACAGCACTTTGAGAGAATGTAGCAGTCTCCTCAGAACTCTGTGCCAAGGGTGCAAAGCTGTGTTGTTTCAGAGCTGAGCTGGGTTTCTAGATTGAATCTTTGGTTCACAGGCAGCCATGTCCATTAAAAAAATACAGGACTTGGTGCAATTTCATGTGCTGCTTCATCAGAGCCTTAAATTGCACAAGAAAAACCCACAGAGGCTGCTGTGTGAAAAAAGAAAATTGTACATAAACAACTTAAGGTAGCACTCCTGTAATCAGAGTTCATATAGGTCCATTGCCATATCAATGGAAGGATGTGCTGAGGGAGATTGGTTGCACAGATTAATCTTTCAGAGATTTGAAGTCTGATAACATAAGTATTTAAGTTATTAAAAAATAAAAAAGCACATTTGAACAACAGTATTTTCTGAACATGTGCCCAGGTGGCATAAACTACTGTTATGATACATTTTAGTGGGTATGGTCACTGGGGGAAAGTCTTTAAAATAATTCTTGATTCCTTAGGCTAAAGGTATTGCTAAACTTTTCCATTATTTTTAGCCTAGATCATTTTGTTAGAATGATTAATAACTTTCCTTCTGTACCAGATGTTGAAGTTGTACATTGATTCATCTTGGCAGGGTTTGCAGGCCATGCAATCCTAGTAGAAAATATCCCTAGCTGTGAGTGTTCACTTTATATACTCAGCAGCCAGGTAGAGCAGCAAAATGTAATATAAAGCACTGCAGGAAAACCAGTTCTGATGCTCTGTTGAGAGTTTCCATATAGCTTTGATAGAGAAGCTGTGGTGGACCTTCTTAGAGCAGTATAGGAAATTATGTGAAGGTATCAGTCTGACAGAGTAACAACTGTCAGAGGCTACTGCCTCTTTTACAGTAAAATTAGTAGATGGGACTGGAGAAGGAATCAGCTTCTGAAGCCATGGACTGCTCCTTCCATATAGGATGAAAGGTGGAAAGGCTGTGTTCTTTCATTCCATATCCAGCAATTTAAATTTTGCTGAAACACCTGAGAATTCACTTGGCTTTTTTCTTTTTCTGTCAAAGTACAGTACAGCTAAATTGTCCTGACTACCTCTTACAGTTACTTTAGTCCTGTTTCTTTTCTATGATTTGTCTTCCTTGTGGAACTGAACTTGATGCAGTTACCTGGTACGGTAGGTTAGAGTGAGTGAGAGGTCCTTGCCCACTGCAACATGAGTTCTATCTGTTTGTTCTGAGAATACCTATTACTTTCTAACTTTATAGATTCTTGCATGGATTTGCTGTGCAGTGTATTTTTGTAGAAATCTGTCTGTAATATCTAGATAAAATTGCTACATCCTATATTACTTTTTTTTTTTTAAAAAAAATTGTACATATTTTGTAGGCCTTAAAAGACCATGGGTATGATTATCTTGTTGGCAACAAATTAAGTTGGGCAGACATCCAACTGTTGGAAGCCATTTTAATGGCAGAAGAATGTAAGCCTGATATACTGTCTGCATTCCCTCTGCTACAGGTTAGTAATAATCTGATCTCAATATGGAATGTAACATACAAACGTCACTGCCCAGTTTTTAAAGTGAATTGATCTTTAAATCTTTTGAACCATCCTGCTGTGCTGCTGACAGTTCTCATCTACATCTGTTGACAACAGCCTGAACACACGTGCACTGCCTTGACTCCAGGGCTGCTGGGTGCTCACCTTTCTCCAGCTCTACTTTTCCTAGCTGTTTTCAGCTGGCAGAAAGTCACTGACTCTACCAGTTTGGTCCTGTCACTGGTACTTTCACGTCTTCAAACATAGTGATGAGCACCATGAGGGGAAGGCTGTGGCCTGTTGTGTCTGCAGTTCTGTCCTTCTGTTTTTGCTAGCAACATTATTTTTTTGAATAAATCATATGCAAGAGCTGTTAAGTTTCTTATCTCATCTTACATCGTGCTTTTCACTGAGGTAATCCTGTCCTTGCCTCTTTTATTTTTTGCCCAATTATATCTGCAAGGTTCAGATGATGGTTTTTACTCTTCTTCTCTCCTCTCCTCTCTCCCACCTTTACCAGACGACTCTTAACTCTTTAATATTACTTTCTCCCACCTCCATCTGGGAAACTAAGGTAAACTTTATAGCACCAGCATTGCAGATTAGAATATTCACACCTGTATTTTCCAAAAAGATTAATAGGTTGAAGGTGTGGTTTTGCCTTACTTTTAATGGAAAATGCTGAGTGCTGAGCTGGCTATAGGGGGCTACTACCTTTCTTTGATAAGCATGTCTGAGAAGTAAAAATACAAGTCACCTGACTTTTAAGCTATAAAGGATAGAATTACAATTTCCTGACTCTCACTGGCTGTACTGCTGCTTCTTACAGGCTTTTAAAGGAAGAACAAGCAACATTCCAACAATAAAAAAATTCTTGCAGCCTGGCAGCCAGAGGAAGCCACGAACAAATGAGAAGATTGTTGCTATTGTGAGGAAAATATACAATTTCTAATCGTGTGGCTGCTGAAGATAACACAACTGTAGTATAGTACCAGAACTGTGCCTTATAAGTGTAACCTGCATAGATCCTCTATAGCTTGACTAATATAAACTGTCACATGGCAATCCTTGAAACAGAATATACTTTTAAATTAGAGTAAAAGGCTCATTTGGACCTGTTGAGTCCAGAAAGTTTCATGGAGCAGTTATATGAAATAAAATATGCTGATACTTTGTTTTTGTTTAATTACAGCATGTGCCTGGTAGGGTAAAATGTTAAAATGTTTATGCTGTAACTTGCAGGGTACTGTTGAAAGCCCCACCCCTCATAAAGTGCAGGAGGGAAGGGCCAATCCATAAAAACCGGGAAGTAATTTAAAATCAGGCCTAGAATCTTTTAGTTTTTCTCTCTAGGTGGTCTCTTAGAGCAAAGTTCACTGTCCCCCTGATGTATTTCTCTGCTGTCTCTGTACTTGAGGAGCAGCAGTTAAAAAGAGACATTTTTTTTAAAAAAAATATTTAAACTCATGATCCTCTTAAGTTTATGGGCAAAAGTAAGAAGCTCTTTTAATCCCCATATGAATCTCTTAGAAGAGATTTTGTTCACTGAAAGATCAAAGTACACATTTAATTAGTCTGATGTGGTTTTCATCCATTGAAACCACCTGTTCCCTTGGTCTTCTTTTTTGCTTGCTTGGTCACAGTGAGGAAAATGCCACTTGATTGTTGGGGTTTGTTTTGGTTTGTTTTTTTGCTGAACCATCACAGAGACTGGCACGGGACATCATTACCTTTGCATTTTGGGAGTCCTCAGTCCCATAGGGGTATGTCGGACTTGTTGAGAACACTCCTTGTTTGGGCTGCTCAGGAATTTCAGCAAAAGCTTCAGGATTACAGTTGAGCTTGGAAGCTAGTTCCATCCCTCTTCCCCCATGGAGTAATTTGGAGAATGCACAGAAGGCTCAACTCTGGACATGCTCAAAAATATACAATCTTACTGCATTTAATCTTGTCTACAGTGCAAATCTCCAAATAGGTAGTGGTCACCCAAGTCTGTTATGGTACATGGCAGTTCAATTCCTCTAATGTGCCTTGTTTAAGCTCTACTTCAGGATTAAGTGTATCACATTTTACGTGTCCATGTGTTCATCCCAATCTGAAATCCATAACACACCAGCTCAATCACCTGTAAACCTGGTGAGACCTGGAGATGACTGATAACATTTCCTAGCAAAAGATTCCAGAGCTGGAGGCTGTGGTTTGGGGGTGGTGGGGGATTTTTTCCACTTTTTTTTTTTTTTGTTCAGTTGTTCCTTAGACATCTCAGCTGCTCACAACCCCTTGTCATCACCAAAGCCCTGCCAAGAATAATAAGCTTGGTATTCCGCCGATGGATTTGGGCAGCATTGAAGTCTGATATATGATAAGCTTTAGAAGAAAGCTCTGCATGAAAAAAAGGAAAAGAAGCAAAATGTATCTTTTTCTTCAATAGTGCACTCATCTGTATTCAGTTTCCTAATGATTTGGCTGCATGTTCCTGTGCACTGGAAGATAGGCTCAGCCAAACTTTCAGACCCACGAAAAAAATATTTTCTGTGCAAACCAAAGCCAACTTCAATCCCTGATAGGTTATGAATGGATACACTGCTTATGGAGGGGATTTCAGCAAGGTAATCTGTATAAGACCACAATGGCAAACCTGTTAAAGTGTATTGAGACAGATCCTATTTATGCAAGATGGTGGTGAACCTTCCTCAACTGTGGTTCATGCCAGTAGGAATGCACAGGGTGGTCCATGTTTTAAACTAGTGTAAGTAGACAGCAGATCATCAGAATCTTGACAAAACAGCTCACTAGTCTGCTTAAAAAACTGAGAAGGTTTCAACATTTGATGGTTTATTTGAACACTGATTATAGTTTTTACATTTAGAACCAATGGAACAAGATTTGTGTGTCTGAAAGAACACTGGATTCTTCCTTCCCCTACAGGCCTGTACCTTTATTGATTAATAACTGACAGTATGATTTGAACTCATTACTTAATCTAGGAAGCTACACAATTATGGTTCAATACAATGTAGCATTTTAGCATAAACCTGTATTTATATATATATTCTCTCAGATACACAGTGCAAGACTAAGTCAATGTCCTGGGATGCTCAAGATCTCTGAAAGGCATCAGACGTGTAGAGAAAGATGCCTTCAGTTAACAGACTGCTTAAACAGAAGTGGACCAAAAGAAATCCTCAACAAAACATCTGTTTTAGTTTTTTTAAAAAAGCTTGCAAAATATCATCAAATGTCAATAATCAAGTTACAGGTACAGATCTTTTACAGAACAGATAACTGCAATATAAGAATTGTGTTCAAACTTGTCTTTCAAGTGTGGAGAGCTTGCCTGGTTTCTTCGGTGGGCGCGACAGTCGTAATTTGGCTCTTGGGTTACTAAATTCTCCTACAGCAGCATAAAAACAAGCCTCAAAATCATCAAAAGGCTGCAAATAAAATCAGAACAAGAAACATCAATATGGTTGTGCATGAGCAAAAAGAGAGCAAAACCAGTGCAAGTCATCATTGCATAACAACACACTCATAAATACCTGACCCTATGGCCTCTAGTAAGAAATCTTTCAAAATGTCTACATCTACAGCCTCAGTGTCTGCTGAAACACACACACTCCACCTAGGCTTGGAAAGCAATCCACAACACAAAGGCATTTTCCAGTTTAAGTCCCCATTCTTAAATTTTGCATCTTGACAATTTGCATGTTGGTTTTTTTTTTCCTCCCTGTCTATAGAGTAAAAGAGTTGATGGTGCTATATTATATCTGGCAACAACAAAGCAAGAGTTATTACTCCTTCAGAAGATGGGGATTCTGACATACAGCTGAAAAGTATTTTGAGTTACAGACTCACTGGGAAAAAAAATTTTCAACTTACTCAACAATTTCAAAATAAGAAGTCTAGAAAATTATGTTTTCCAGAATGCCAAAATAAACAGCAGCAATAAAGCACTCAGAATGGTCAGAAACATCATAATTTGCAGGAAGTTCTTAGGTCAGGTCAAAAATACCCTACTGGGCAAAGGTGCTGAGCTTCCAGTTGTTTTGAATGCAGCACTTCTAAACCGAAGTGTTGGTCCTTTTTAAGATGACTGCTGTATGAAATTAGGTGACTAATTTTATGCATATGGGCTTGAAAACACTGAGGCTTATGTCAGGTTCTTCCAAGAGCCTTATCAATATGCATGAATATTTAATTGCCCATATCTTTTCTTTGCTGAGAAAGTCACTCTGTATCAGACGTGTCTGCCTACTGCGATGAAAAAGCTGTTCACTGGAAACAGGACTGGGACCTCCAAAGTAATTTCACTTAAACTGTACAGTTGCTGGATGATAGTAACTTCCACTGATACTGGCTTGAATCAGATGTCAAATGGCAACTATTTGAAAATCAGTGAAATCTTTACATTAAGATCCTCAATGTATGTTTACCTCAGGCATGCTACTAGTCCGGCTGGCATTAATTTCTTGGACCTCTTGAACCTCATTCCCATTATAATGGTCAAAAGAAAAGCTGAAACTGTAAAAGACAATTCAAGATATTTATGTTCTCACTTCTCCCAGTGGACCATTAAGGAACATGGAGAATTATCAACGGTCATTGCTATGTTTTGCTATGAAGTGCAATTTAATAAAACATTAGATCAGAGATAGGGTCTGTAAAAACATTCTTGCTTTTCTGAAATACACTGCTATGATTTCTTTCAGTGACAAACATGGTTTCTGGGAGCAGGGGAATGCTAAGCCCTATTCCACAGACACTAAGTTTGTCAGACAGTGAATTCTACTACCCCATGTCTACATTCATGGGGGTACAAATAAAGTAGGAAGAATCTTCATCATAACTGTGACACACATGCTGAATTACAGGAATAGTGTCTTATAAATCCCACCAGCCTAGAATATTGCAGCAGTTTTCTTACTAACTGATCAAGGAGTCAGAGCATCCAACTTTATGTTTTCTTTTTAGAATGCTAGTACTTTATTTGCTGAGCCTTAAAAACTAGATTGGAAGACTTGCCACTTGTTTTTGCTGCAGAATATAGCTGTCAACATCTCCTTCACCATGACCACAATTTCCTTTGCTTATTATGGTACGAGGGAACTTGTCTGTGGCAAGAGGTGGGCAGCTCAAGAGGGCAAGCAGCAGAGAACAAACATCATGAAAAGAATTGCATGTTCCTTCTGGAGCAGTTTTACCTAAAAATGTGGGTAGCAATGAACTGATCAGGCATGGGGATTTCATACTGAACTATGGCTGCAAAGCACTACATAAAGGAGAAGATTAATGAGAATACATAAAACTCTGCAAAGATAGCTAGTTTCATTTAAAGAGCTGTCACCTGAAATGCTTCCTAGAAGTGGGCAGAGAGGCAGTACTTCTCATAGGCAGTTGGGCTTTATTACCCTTGCAGCCAAAGTAACGGGAGTTAAACAAATCTCTTCCTGTTTCTATGGAGCAGTTAAACCACCTGGACAATCCTCTTCAAATTCCACTGTCTACTCTTGTAGACAGTTCTGTGCTCACAAGTGTCAAGAATTAGTTTTAAATTTCTGACTGTTACAAGCATCTTACGAAACACTACTACGTGCACTCATTAAAGATACCCTGCACAAAAACTATTATGCTCCATTATCCATTGCTCTTATTTTCTGGTTCCACAGCCTTGATCCTCTCAGGAACATCTGAGGAGCAGTCTGTATGCGTCTTAGCAGAGCCCTGAGTGTTTTTACAATTCATTACAAACTACAAAGCATGTGCACTTTGTAATATTTTTTTCCAGTTACTAGTATCTGGCTTTTCACATGTGCCACTGAGATTTTAAGACACTCAACTTTTATACTTGATTTTCAAAAGTGCCAGATATTCACTGTTCCACCTTAAATCAGTCAAATAAATTCAATAAATCAAGCCAAATTTAATTCAGTAAGTCAAATTCAGATCGAAATCTCAATAAATCAGGCGCAATGACTTGCACTCTGAACAGAACTGACTATTGCATACCGAAGTCTGAATTTCTACATCTACTACAAACATGTAAAAT